ACCGTGGGACAACCATCCATCCATCCATCCATCCATCCATCCATCCATCCATCCATCCATCCATCCATCCATCCATCCATCCACTTGTTTTCTCTCCTGTTGTCCTCCCTGTGCATCCAAGATGACATATTTCCATGCTTCATCGTCTGACATGTGGTGAAGAATACCAAATTTGGTAAGGAAAGTTCTGCTTTATCGTTTAAAAACAAACCAAACCCAGTTTTTGCTCTTCAGACATAGGACATCCTGTGCTGCCCTCTTCCATCACCTGCCACCCCTGACTTTCCAGGACCATCTTAATTCTCATGAAGTGTCCTCTCCCATCTCCAGAACGGCGGGGAAGAGTTCTTCTTTGGTTTGGAAGGAAATAACAGCAAGAGGAGCTGGAATCTGCTGTGGGCTCTGGTCCAGGGCTGTCTGCCACATGAATTTCCAAGGAGGGGGTGGGTTGATGCTGAGTCCTCCTGCATGGGGCTCTGCTCTTTGATGCCAGCCTTTCTTCTTGCTCTTCCTCAAGCCGTTGCTCTCTGGCACTAAGCTGCTTCCTGAAGATTGCACAGCAAACCGGATCAGCTTCAAGGAGAGCTGATCCAGGAGAGGACTTGGGGCCAAAAGAGCCTGAGGAGTTTGAAGATGCAGCTTTATCAGCTTAGCAAAAGGGCTGGTGCATCAAATGGCAAAGGCTGCAGGCCCTGTGTGCTTGAGGTTTGTAATGGATAAGTTAGCAGAAGGTCTAAAAAAGAGTAGAAATTGTGAATTAGTGAGATTTCCTTCAGAAAACTCAGCATGGCTTCTGTACAGGGAGGGCTTGCCCTACAAACCCCTTGACAGCCTCAATAAGCTGGAAGAGGAAGGTGTCTGTGGGAGATACAATCTCTTTGGCTTTCCAGGTCTGTGGCAGAAGGCTCTGCACTATTCCCACCACAGCCCAGATGCCCACGGATGGATTATTCCCCCAGCACCTCCCGGCCCCCTGGTGCCAGCAGTCCCCCCAGCATCCATGCCTCTGTATAAAGGGACACCAGGGAATCCGTGGTGAGCATCCTTAACCTCACCTCCTGCCTCTCCCAGCCCTTCCTGTTGCTGGCACTCCCACCCGGACCAGCGGCTGCACAGGATCATGTCTGGCCTCTTCAGCTTCACTCCTGCCTGAAACAGCATCCTGAGCCACAGCAGTGGGAGCAGCAGGTGCAAGGACCCAGTTATGGGCAGTTTTTAGGGCTGTATTTATAAACCAGGTGGTTCTGACATTGTGGGTGGTTAAAGCAGAAGGAGAAAGGCTGCTATGGAAGAGCACAAATTCGGGATCAGGTTACCGTTCTCAGCAATATAAAATTTGCATTTAAATCCAGTGGAGGTGATTGAGGCACTGCAGGCAGATTCCCACATCCCAGAGAGAGCAGGAGGATGCAGTGGAGACCTTTCAGGCTGCTGCTGTGAATATTTGGGACTGTCTGAGAGAAAGAAGCTCCATAATTATGGGGAAGAGTCAGAGAAGAGCACTCGGTGCTTCCATCAGGACCAGAGGGTGGCTGTCACTGTGAGGAGCTGAGCCTCAGAGCTTCCTGCTGCTCCTGCACAGCTGCACACACAGGGTCCTGTTTACTGCTGGGGAGCTTAGGGCAAAAACAAATGCCAGAGAGCAGCAAAGAAAAAGGCTCTTCCTTTAGGAACAGAAAAAGAGTGTATTTGGCAGGTGATGACCAGGTTGTGTTGTCAGTGTATTCGGCATCTGAATCTGCTCCCAGGGTCTGTGATGGGCAGGAGTTGATTTATAGAGCCCTAACACTGTGATTCCCTGTAGGAGCAAAACCCTGCACAAGTAGTGGGATCCTTTAATAACATAAAGTGCCCTTTGCTACCCTGTTTCAGGTGTGTGTTTATTTTATTGCATCCCTGGGAGGCCACACACTTAGTCTGTGTCACATCCACCAAAATGCGGTTGCTGAAAGAGTTTTCAGTCTGGAAATGCCACCGTTGTCCCCCAGGTCAGTGAAACACTGGGAATACACACAGGGAGCTGGGCAGTGTTTCAGCAGCCACTTGCTCCCAGCAATGTTCAGGTTTGGTTGTGGTTTTTGGTCATGTATCAGTCTCAGACAGAAGATGCCTCCAGGGTCATGACAGCCAGGTGGGAACCTGCCCTTCCATGATGGCCACACACTGTGAGTTGCTTCCTGGGGATGGAGCAAGCTGGAGGTGGGGAAAAAAACCTAGGGAGTAGCTTTGGATGCTGAGTGATGAGAATATCATACAATATTCCCGGGCAGTTTGCTCCCTGAGTCCTGAGTCAAGTGTGAGGAATCCAAGACTTTTTGGTTGCAGGAATGTGAATACACGAACTCAACGAAGGATTTACACTGAAAATAACCCACTGGAGGTGGTGGAGGGAAGCAGGTGGCCATAACCTGAACACTGTACTTAAGATTTAAAAAGGATTTGGCTTCTGGCTGCTGCTGGTCTGTTTATCCCACAGACTTGGCAGGCACAGGACACTTCCCAAATGTTGGGGTTGATGAAAGTTGTGGCTGGCCAGCTGCCAGCTCTCGAGGCTATCAACTGGCTCTCAAACTGTGGATGCTAATTAGCACTTCCCTTCTGTAAAAATTTATGTTGCAAAGTCATGGGAATCAGGGCTCTTTGCACTCTGTGTTTGTACAGCCCCTGACACGACCAGATCGTGCTCATGATGGAGGTCTTGGACACCACTGCAGTATGGAAATATATTATAAAAACCTTTTTCTCCTTCATAGCTAGCTGATCTTCACAGAATTGCTCTTATGGTAAGCAAACCTCGTCTTAGAACCCAGAAAACAAGCTCTGTACTCACACAAGGCAGCCCAAGCATTTGGTAAGTCCTTGTTATAACATTGTTTTTCCTTGCTTCTATCCTGGGCTCAGCTCAGTGAGAATTGCTTTGACATCTCCCTGGGAAGCAAGGAGGATGTTTATTGTGGTACAGGAGTGCAGGCATAGAAACCAAAATGAATGGCCCAAGCAAAGAACCTCCATCATTCATATTTCTAAGCAAGGATACAATGATAAATTGCCAGACAATGGCATTTGACCTGTACAAGTAATAAAAAGCTAAAATTGGTTGGGTTTTTTTTTATTCCTGGCACAGCTTTTAAATATCTTTTGCACGTGGTTCAGGCAACCTTGAAGAAAAACTGAACAGCAACCACGACACAGACAGTTCAGTACTAAGTGATTCAACATATAACAATTAAACAATAATAGTCTTAAGTAGATTCTCTAAAGATAAACTAAATTTTGCCCCCTCACTTTGATTTCCTGTCATCAAAGTGAGTGGTTTGCCTCTCACATCTCTGCACAGGCGTTTGAACTGCGTTGCAAGTGTGCTGAAATTGCTGGTGGTAATTAGTTTATTTGTTGAGCAATTAATTAAATGTGACTGTTTCCCTCTCTGTGGATTAAAGGAGTGCTGTAAGTGATACCATCTCAAAAAGAGCAGATGTGCTATAAAAGCACTGATTATTCTCATCAGTCAAGAAGGACAGAACAAGTATCGATAGGCTGAAAAACTGCCAAAGGAAAAATTAGTTCATTCTTGGGAATAAGTTTGGGAATGCCAAAGGAATTCAGGCCAGGGATGTGAACGCTGCAGAACACAGGGCATATGTCCTGATGGACAGAGGGAATCCGGGCTGGATGTGATTGTCTTCCCAGCATCATCTCCAGGAGGCTGGGAGAGGCAGTGGCCTGCAGAAGGGCCCGTGTGCCCAAGGAGTTTGAGAGCTTGCAGACAACAGGGGTGATGGCAGCTGAGACTGCTGACGGGTGAGGGGGAATGAAACAGGACTGGCAGGGCCTTCTGAGACATGCTAAGCATCCTTCATGCCCAGGAGAGCTCTGCTGGGACTCTGGGGACCGGTGGCTGCAGAACACACTGTGGGAGCTGGGGCAGTGTGTGCTCCCTTGTCACACCAGCCTGGGGCTGGGGGACAATCCCCACGTGTGGCTGTGGTGGTGCCTCTGCAGGCTGCCCACCTGCCAGAGGGGTAACGCTGACTCGGATTCAGGTTTTGTCCCAAATTCTGGGGTTTTTTTCAGGTCTGGGAGGTCATCACAACCCCAAGACTAAGAAAATCTTGTGAATCACCGCTCTTAAGGCACTTAAGAAGCCTTGTGAATCACCGCTGCTGAACACACCCCGCGCAGCATCAGCGCCTTTGGAGGAAGCTGCGGATGAGGACTCTTAAGCTGAGGTTGTGCTGGAATGGGCACGGATTTGGGAAGAGGAGAGAGAGTCTCTCTCCAGGGGTGTCTATTAATGAAACCAAATATCCAAAATCCCAGCACAGCTCCCGATAAACGGAGCAGGGAACAAAGTCATGGCACTTGTAAAATGCCCTGGGACCCTTGTAGGCTAAACGGGAGGTGCTGCAGGGTTTGCCTTGGCTTTCTGCTCTTTATCCCTGCACCGGGGATGGGGAGGGGATTCTTTCCCTGCACCGGGGATTAGAACGGGGATTCTTTTCCTGCGCCATCCTGGGGATGGAGGCTCCCTTGGCCAAACCAGTATCCCCCGGCTCTGTGATGGGTGACGCGGCTCTGTCAGGAGGAGATCCGGCTGCAGGATGATGCGGGGGTTGAGTGGTGGTCCGGCTCCGTAGAGGGATGCCCCGCGCCTATATGGGGATGCCCCAGCTCGGCGGGGGGCGACCCATCTCCCATGGGCTGTCCCCGCTCTCCCCCCTGTCCAGCACAGACCCGCATCCCAGTGCAGGGGATGGAGGAGGGATGTCGGGACCCGGCGGCGTCCACCTTCTCCCTCCCTCCGCATCGCGGGGAGCGGGTGCGGGGGGCGCAGCACGCGGCGCTGCCCGTGCGGCCCCGGTGCGGGGCTCGGGGGGGCGCCGCTCGGCTCGGCCCGGCTCGGCCCGGCCCCGCTCGGCCCCGCTCCGCTCCCGCCGCCGTCATTGGCGGCCCCGGCGGCGCTGGGGCGCGGGGCGGGGAGGCGGGAGCGTCCCCCGCAGAGCCGCCGCCGCCGGCCCGGCCATGTGCCGAGAGGGTGGCTGCTGCTGCTGCTGCTGCTGCTTGCTGCTTGCTGCCGGCTGCCTGCTCCGCGCACTGCTCCCCTGACCGCTTTCTTCCTTCTGTTTTTATTTTTTGAAATTTTTTTTTTTTTTTTTTAAGTCCTTTTATTTTGGCGTTGATGCTCTGCGAGCGGGAGACTTCGGGAGACGCGGTCCTCACCTGAGCGATCCAGCCCCATTCCCCCGTTTGAAGGTAAGCGTGGCGGGACCCCCTCTTTCCCCACCCCCGCTCTGCCGGGCCCCTTCTCCCCGTCTTTCCCGGCGCTGGGGTCTTTAGCGGTGTTTTTCCCCCTGTTTGCTTCACTCCCGCCCCCACCGCCCGCTTCCCGGTGCATCCTGAACTGCCTGGGATCGCTGCTCCGAGGGAACCGGCTGCGAAACCCGCATCCCGGGGGGATGCCCACAAGGAGGGCAGCAGGCAGAGGATAGCCCCGGCTGCCAGGAGTGGGGCTGGGAAGGGGTTTGGAGGGGGGAGACAGAGCGAGTAGGACACGGAGAACTGCACAGCATCCACTCCCCCATAGCCTGTCTCAGGGGGACCGGGCAAGTCCTGCCACCTTAGACCAGCATAAAAAATACTGAGGTGCTCCAGGCTTGGTTGTCACTGGTCCTACAGCATCTTCAGTTTCAGAGCCATGTCTGTGAAGGAGGTCGTGAAAGCATCTTTCAGGGATGGGATGGGAAAGCTGCCCCCATCCCATGCCTTTCCTGGGTGTGGGGGTCATGTCCTTTTCCTCCATTTCATCCCCCTTTGCACGCTCAGCATGGGACTGAAACCAGCCTCTCTAAATAACCTGTCTGGGCATCTCCCCTGGAGCCATGTGTCTAGGACAAGGGTTTGTTCCTATCTCATGTCCTGGCTCCGAAGGACATCAGAATCCCCTGCTCCATCCCAATGAGTTTGTAGAGACCACCCCAGTCTCAGGTTAGGCAGCAAACCAGCTCACTAACTCAGACTCAGCAAAGCACTGGTGATGGAGAGGGATCCAGAATTACCTATAAGAAAGGTGATGGCACAATTACCTGTGGGTTGTTTTTATCACTATTTCATGGATAGAGCAGCCATCTGGGTCTGTGCTCTCAGAGGCACATGGATATTGCTCAGTACATTAAAGGTAGCCTGAGGGCTCAGGGGGGCTGTGGGAGGCAGAGAGAAATCCCCCAAGGGAAGATGGCTTTTCATTTCCCCATATCGACCGGTTTCAGACAGGATTATTTATATTTGACATAACAGATCACCAAACTTGGAAGGCAGTGGGGGTGTGCTCATACTCATTAAGGTAGACAGTTTTCTGACAGAATAAATTAAAGGTAAGAGAAGACGGTACTTTGAGGTTCAACAGATTGTCTTCTAGCCTGAAATGAGCAGCGAAATCAGCATAAAACCTAGGTGGGAAAATCGTGTACTTGAGTCTGTGATGACGGATGTCTGTCATTTTAGGCAACTTAGTGGGTTATCCCAATTTTTAGAGTGCAGATGGTGCTCCTGGGTGACTTCTTTGAGCAAAAGCACCCAGTATGATGGGTTTTTTAGTCATCATATCTTGCCTTTACTGAGTAAGCATCTAAATTATAATGCTGTCAGGGAAAGTAGTTTACATAAATTGTGCATGAAGTGAGTGCCTGAACTATCTCACACCTGTGTTTAGGCTCTTGCAATGGCATGGAAATAACTGAAGGTTGTTTGCAGCCTCTGTGACTTGGTTTTCATCTTGTCTGGAAGGAGCAGAAAGATGCACTAGGGCTGTCAGTTGGTGAAAAAGAGATTTTAAACACCTTAAAGACCATGCAGCTGTAATTAGAAGTGTAACCTCCTTCGTCTCCTCGTTCAGTCAGAATTCCTGTGCAGAACGATGACAGGACCTCTTAAGGAGCGGTGCTGGTGCTCAGTGGAGATAAAGAACTTCAACAAAATCCCCCGCAAAGTGATTGATCTTGATTTATCACCCCTCAGTACATTGGCTCTCATTTAGAAAGGATGTGGGGATGTGAGGGGAAGAGAAGGGAACAGCATTTGCTCCTTTCTGTTTTGTTGTCAGTGAGCACAGACTACAAATACAGGCAGTTCTTGAATACCTGTGCCTACCTGAGCATGGAGAGTCGCAGAACATCGCCAGCGCCGTGGTTACTGGCTGTATCTTTGCCGCATTTCTCTGTTTTCCAGCAAAAACTGGTAGCTCTGTTAGCTGTCACATCTCCTCCTGATCCTTTTCCATTGCACCAGCAGATCCCTAAACCCTCATGTAGGTGACACAAGAGTCAAGCCTGAAGGTTTGGTCTCACGGGCTTTGCAATCTGAGGAGAACGTGTTCAGAAGTGGCCAAGGGACAGAGGACCCGCTCGCTGCTTGTGGATTAAATAACTCAAGTCTTTCTAAAGGTTTCCCATGTCTGAAGTTGAAGAGCACTCACCCTACAGCCATTCCTGAACACCCCTTTAGGATCTTGAAATGTTTCACTGGGTGCCAGAAGCAAAGAGAAAAATAAGTTTGATTCCCTCAGGCATTTATGTGCAGCCCAGAGAGCTTCGCTGCATCCTCACAGGACGAAAAAGTCTGTGCCACTGACCTTTGGGCATGTCAGGATGTCCTCAGAGCCCAGCATGTGGGACACTGAGGGGTTTTGCAGCTGGTCAAGCTGTAGGGGATTTGCCTAACTCAGATCTTTTCATGTGGCTGCGCAGTGCCCAGCTGCATTAGTGCTGGTGTTAAGAAACGGGGATAACTTGGTACCTTCTCCCTCGGCCTGTTCTGGTACCTGTCTGTTGTGTTGTCATGGATATGGACAAGGACATGGCCAGGGAAAAGGTGCTGCGTGCTGGCAGGGCTCCCACAGCCACAGCTCATGATGCAACTTGTGACATTGAAGGGCAAGTGTTTGGGTTGAACTTGCAACTCATTCCCCATCTAATTTACGCCTTCTCTCGTGTCATTATGTGTCATCTCTTTCTCTCCTTGGGATCTGATTTATTACGGTGGGATTGGTTCAGCCTTTGCCTGAGAAAACAGCATATACCCCAGCACTGAGCATTGGCAGTGGGATGACAAATAGGTTTGGGTGATGGACTCTTGACCCTCTTCAGACCTTTCAGCCACATTCAGATCACAGCCAAGGCCAGCTCAGGCAAGGCTGGGACCTTAGGAACCCGTGAGCCCTGCAAGAACAGCCCTGGGCAGAGGGCAGCTGGAAAGGTTGGGGAACAAAATTAAAGGTCATAATAACATTTTGAAATATCCTTGGACCTATTTCTCCCTGGAAAGGCTAATAACAGCCATGACCCATTAATAACAGTTCAGTGCACCAGCAGGAGGATGGGGCTCCTCTGGAGATGTGATTCTCAAGGTGCCTGTGTCAGAGGCAACACTGGGAGGGGGGACAGGACTTGATTTAGGCCAAAATCACAATGATGAGGATTCTGTCCCATCCTATGTGTCCAGGAGTACAGATTTCTTGCTGGAGCCAGGGCCAGCACTGTGAGCTGCAGCCTGGGACACTGCTGGGTGCCAGCACTTCCATCAGCGTGCACGGGTGCTCCCTTGGCAGGGCAGGGAGCGGAGATGAGAGATGCACTGAGGGCTGGGGAACTTTGTTACCCTCTCACTTCAGGCAGTTTTCTCTTGCTTGTTGAGCCTGTGATGGGTCAGAGCTGGCATTTGACTTCCGTCACAATAACAGCACAAGACGGACCGAGACACCACGAGGGCAGCTCAGCCCATTCTCAGCTTCTCTGGTGCTTCTCTCCCACCTCCCACCTCCAGGACAAAAGCCACCTGCGGTCACACACCACCCAGCATGGATGTTGTGAGTGTGCCGAGCTTTCCTTGACAGCTACACTGATTTTTCTCCTGAGCTGGAAAGCGTGTGCCTCTGGAACCTGCCCGTGAGCTGCCAGGAGGGAGGGATGCGGCTCCTACGTGGAGCTGAGTCGAAGGTGCACGCAGCTCTGCTGCCCTGGGAAACATGTCTCTGCTCCACAGCCTTCATCAAAGAGATGGAAACTTGTCATATTCTTTTCGCAACAATATCTGACATTATCCAAGCAATTTGCCTTTGGTGTGTTTCCAGAAATAGTTAGGCCTGCAGTAGACAGGGGTGACATCTGGATGCATTACTGTTGAGTTCAGAAACATTCAGTAAACAAGACAGGATCTATTGTTTAAAGGTTATTTCAAAAGGCTCCCAGCGAGTTATCTGGCCGTGCAATGGGGAAAGCTTTAATGGCACGGTGATAATTGCCTGTTTCTGAAGGACCTTTCAGAGGAAAGTTACCAGAAACCCAAAGGCAAGTCTCAGCCCGTCCTCACCAGGTCAGGGACCTGATCCAACCTGAAAATTGGGAGAAGTTGTCTCTTTACTCCCGTGTGGGCTGGATCAAGGCTGGGAAATGCGTGCCTGGCTGTGGGAAGAGCAGGTTGGGGGGCAGAGACGGGGGATGCAGGGGAGATCACCAGCAGTTCAGCAATCAAAAAAAAATCTCAGATCAGCATAACAGGGCAGCAGGATTCACATCAGCAGGGAGGGCGAGAGAAAGAGCCCTCCCCGAGGCTCTGAGAAGAAAATAAATGTCATTAGCAATGGATAAAGCAACCGCCTCTGAGCACCTGAGACGAGGGCGGGAGGCTGTGCAGGGAGAGGGGGGCTGGCGAGGGCTGCCAGTGCTTGGAGGGCTCAGGGAGGCCGCAGCAGGAGCCACTCTGCAGCCCACGTCTTTATTCATCACGTCCCTGTTCGGTTAATAGCCTGCTCATTAAGAAAAGAAAAAGGAGGGCGAGTGAATTTCTAGCAGAAGCCAAGTACCAGCCATCCTCCCCTTCCCTCGCCCAGGTGACAACGATGCTGCTCACGTGGCAGAAGGGAAGAGAGGTGGCTCTGCTGTCACTCACACACCTGCAAGTGCTCCTGGCAGGATACACTGCTCTGTGCTTACCTCAGCCCCGGAGCAGGCAGGACTGATGCTCACTGAGAATTTCATGCCCCTTGGAGAGCCCTGATGGGGCAGAAATCGTGTCGTGGTCTCACGTATTTTTGTTTCTCTGAGAGGGCAGTGGGAGTGAGCGAGTTCCAGGGCTGCCCTGGAGCTGACTGGAGCACTCTGCCTGCAGCAGGACCATCCCATCCCAGGCACTGGCTCCAGCCCTCCTCTGCCTCATCCAGTGCTGCCGTGAGGTTGTCTCAGTGCTGCGGAGAGAGTAGG